TATTTTTCTCCAAAAAAAAAAAAAAATTACATAAATGGGATTTCAAGTGTGCTTTTATATTCCTTCTGTTGTGGGTCTCATCTTTTTATTCACTCCCACATTAAACTGTCACATTCAAGCAGTTTGCTGATCTTTTTTTCCTCCGTCACTTGCGTGGTAGCCAAAACAAAAAAAAGGTACAACCTTTGTGATCTGCAAAGGTACAACCTTTTTTTTAACTTGAATTCAACTTCATTTGTGTTCAGTTTGATTTCTCTGTTTGATTTTCTGATCTGGGCTGTGTTCATTTTTCTTGTGTTTTTGCTCTGTTTTGTTAATTCTGATCAAGAAATACTTCAATCTCAACTGATCTTGATTTTCAGTACTTGTTAATTGTTGAAGAAGATTGATACATCAATCACATCAAATCAACTCATCCATGGCTGAGGAGGGTTATTACTATGAATCAAGATTTGTCTGCAAGCTCTGCAACAAGAAATTCCCATGTGGGAAATCACTGGGGGGGCACATGAGGTCTCACGTTGTAGCGAATTCAGCCGAATCGGACGAACTTTTCGATAAAAAAATCCAATCTTTCGCCGATTTCGATCATCAGTCCAGCTCGAAAGACTCGAGGATCGCCGAATTCGTAAACGGGCAGCAGTCGAGCTACGTGTTGAGAGAGAATCCCAAGAAAACGTGGCGGGCAGCCGACACTACACGAGTCCCATTGCCTCAGGACAAAATCTGCAAGCAATGTGGGAAAGGGTTTCAATCTATGAAGGCTTTGTGTGGACACATGGCTTGCCACTCGGAGAGGGATAAAAACTCGAAAGACGATAGTTCTTGGACGAGCGAGAATCAAAAGGCGGTGCTCGACAGCTGTTCGGATACAGAGGAAGGAGAGGAAAGGAGAATTCGAACACGATCATCTTCCAAGAGCAGCAAGAGGTACAAGAAATTCGTCGAGAAATCATCTCAGTTTTTTGCTCTGGCTAACAATAATTATAATAATGTGAATGGCTCTTCATCTATGTCTGAGATTGATGGACAAGATCATGAGGAGGTAGCTATGTGCCTTATGTTGCTGTCGAGGGATTTAGGGAATAATAATAATTATTCAGTGGTCGAGTCATCGGATAATAACTCGGTTGTCTTGGAGACTAAGTCTTCTTCTATCGAGATGAGGAAAATGGAGAATGAGAAGAAAATCGCGAATAATGATAGTGATGATAAGTTGAAAGGCAAGATTTTGGACGATGAAAATGCTCAAGTGGAGGATGATTTCAATTCCGATTCCGGCTATTTCTTGGACGAGCGTGCTAAATCCGATTCCGACCCATCGGTCGATTGGTTCAAGAAGAGCTCGAAAGGGAACGACCTGAGAAAATCGAGCAAGGATGAATATTATTATGATGATGATCGTGATGTCGAATCTCGAAAGAGAAAATATTTGGCTTCTCAACAAAATCCCGATGAGACTCCTCATAAAAAGAGCAAATATGAATGCTACAACTGTAAGAAGAGTTTCAAGTCTTATCAGGCTCTTGGGGGCCACAGGCCATGCCACAAAAGGACGAATGCTTTTAACGAGAGCCGAGACGAGAGTGGGGAAAATAGCCCGGACGAGTCTGCTGATTACAGCAAGAAAAAATCAAGCGCTGCTAAAAAGACTAAGGCAGGTACTAAGGGAAAAGACCATATTTGCCCGTTTTGCGACAGGGTTTTTAAGAACGGTCAGGCTTTGGGTGGACACAAGAGGTCCCATTTTATCATTACAGGTCCAGTTGAGAACGAGAATACAAGTCGTGGTGCAGCTAAGGCTGATGAGCTTCGCGGCTTGCTTGATCTTAATCTTCCGGCTCCTGAGGATGATGGGGATAACTAACTAGTTCGGTTTTTATTTTAAGTTAATTCGAGATAAAACAGAGGTATGGTTTGATGCTTGCTGATTCTTTTTTTAGTTCGAAAGCTGTTACTAAAATGTGTCGAAAAATGTTGAACAGTTATTTATTCTTTCGTTTTCATGCTGTTTCGGTTTTTCTTTTTTTCGCGTTCTTTGTGTTCTGAAACTATGGGACGGGTCGTGAGGACTCGAACAATCTTGTTTATTGCTCGTTTCAAGGAACGATCTTGTTTATATAGTTTTTATCTCTTTATAATCACAATAATTGTGCTTCAGAACAGATTAGAAAGTCTTTAGGTAAAACCATTCAGTTGTTGAGGAGACAATTAGAAAGTGGTTCAAAGTGCTTGTTAACCAAGCAAAGTTTTTGGTCATGAAACAAACCTGTCAAAGCAGCTTCTGTCTTGTAATATATTTGGTTGCTTGGATTGGAATTGAAGTTAACTAACATATTTTACTTATTTTATTTCATTTTTTAGTTTATTTTATAAATAATTCATGAAGTTACAAGTAACTATGATCAAGTGAAGATTTGGATCTTATGGGTTTTGAAAAAAATATGATGAATTCTTGTCTTAATATTCAATTTCTACTGTTGTCCCTTTTTTGTTGACTTGTGAGGCTGCATTTGTCTATGTTTGGGAGATTCTGCGGTCTCGTTTGGGAGATCTACGGTCCTCTTACAGAACCATTACGTTGGGGTTTATAATCGTTAGATTAACTCTCCACAATGGTTACATGATAATTTAACGGGTTACAAATCTCGAGAGAATGGTTTCGTAATAGTATTTCCTAGTTTTGTTATAACTTATAAGCATAACTGTGAATTTTGATAAATTATTTGATATATATGAGATAAGATAGTTTTAACTCATACTTAATTGAGCATAATTTGAAGTACACAAGATGGATAATTTTAGCACTTAACGAGGATGAAATACGTGTCTCAATATTCATAATGAATGAGTATTGATAAAATTCTCCCTTTGGGAACCTAATTCTCCCTTTGGGAACTCTAATTATCTCAGTTGGGATCGATAATTCATGCGTGTTTATACAATTGGAAAGCCCAGTCTTCGTTTTCTTCAATTAATTCCTCATGGCATCGAGCAGCAACATAAGGAAGGAACAAAGCGTGGAAGTGGAACTGGAGCAGAAGTTGGAGAAGTTATCATTATCGGAGGCAGAAAATTCGATTGTTGATATTGCTCAGGATGATATCAAAGTTCGCAAGTCAGAATGTCAAAAAAGCTTGTTTGGCAAGATTATTGGCGACAGATCAGCGAGCCTTTTCGGAGTTAAAAGAACCATCGGTCAGATATGGAAAATTCAAGGAGCTGTTGAAGTTAGAGAACTAAGCAACAATTTCTTCCAATTCATTTTTAATAATGTTGAGGATCTCCAGAAAGTTGCCTCAGGTACTAGTTGGGTCTATGACAACCAATACCTTATTCTGAGAGAATGGCAGCCGAATATAAGGCGCAATCATCCCTGCTTTGACATCCTGCATCTCTGGGTAAATATATTTAATGTGCCTTTTCACTGGCAATCTCCGGGGGTTGGGCTCAAGATTGGAAACCTTTTTAAAGGAGCTAAGAACGTCACTATTACCAGGACAGGAGATTCAGGTGGAGAAAGGGTTATTCGTATTCTCAGCCATCAATGTTAAGGAACCTCTTTTGAGATGTGCTAATGTTAGGCTGGGGTATGAAATTATCAAGGTTAGCTTCAAGTACGAGAAGCTTGTCAATTTATGTTATTACTGTGGAACTCTAGGCCACTTGGACAAGGATTGCAAAAAAAGAATAAGAGATATTGCCAGAAATGCCTTGCAGGATGGTCAATATGGAGAGTGGCTCAAAGTGAGTGAAGGACAACATATTTTCACATCTCCTCATAACAGCCACTCAGCTTCTATGGGTTCTAAAAGCACTGGGCCTAACATCAGGTCTATTTCTTCTGCTACAAAACCAAGTAATACATCTCAATCTCAGGGGAACCAGAGATCTCTCCTGCCTATTGTTCCTTCGGAACTAATTGAAGACACTATCCTGTCTCATTCTGATGTAATGGCAGAAACTATTACTCCTGGTTCAGATTCAGCTATTCAAGTTTGGTCCAAGTTATCTCCTACAATACCTTCAGATACCTCTCAAAAAGGGAAAGGAAAGGAGATTGTAGTCTCTAATCCAAGCGTTCCCATCATTAGAGAGGAGAATTCTATGGCAACCATGGCTGTGGATAATGTGAAGGCAGAAGTGGCAGCTACTAATCCTAAGATCATTGCCAAGACATGGAAGAGAGCTACTGATCCTAGAGGAAGACTTCACAGCTCCCAACCAATCAAAGAACCTCCTCTTCCCAGTCAGGCTCTTAAAAGGGACAGATCTGATATGCTTGATTTGAAGCAGATGGAGGATATCTCCTCTGGTATGAAACTTAAACTCCACTCTGATAAGGTATTGTTGGCCAACCTGCAAAGGCCAACAAGTCCCCAATGAGAGTGCTGGTGTGGAATTGTAGAGGTTTGGGTGGACCCTCTATAATTCTCCAGCTGAGAAGTCCTTTAGGACCCACTGCCCAGATTTTATTTTTATTTCTGAAACTAAAAAGCAAGTTGATTTTGTAAATACTGTTTGTTCTTCTCTAAGATTTGAAGATAGATGGAAAGTAGTTGATCCTGTTGGTTCAGCTGGGGGTTTGCTTCTGTTGTAGGGGAAAGAAGTAATCATCCATCAAATTATCAGTCACAACTTTTGTATGGAGGTAGAATATTCTGATGGGAATCACTCAGATCCGGTTTGGATCATTTTTGTTTACTTGAGCTCAATCAGGAATATCAGACATCATCAATGGGACTTATTAAGGGATATGCAAGCAAAATGGGGAACTTCTTGGCTCTGTGTAGGGGACTGGAATGATATCTGCAACAGTGAAGAGAAGAAAGGAGGAGTTGCTAGAACTCCTATCAGTATGGCTGGATTTAACTCCCTTATTTCTGACATGAGAATGATAGACATCAAATGGAAAGGCTACACTTTTACCTGGGCTAATAACAGATCAGAGGAGGGCTATGTAGAGGAGAAGCTGGATAGGGCTTTCTGTTCCCTTCAATGGTCTATTAATCATCCTCAAGCTACAGTGGAGAATATATTCAGAAGCTCCTCTGATCACAGCATGCTCTACATTAACTCTGACCTTCTCTCTTGTAAAAAGAAAAGAAGATTTTGCTTTGATAAGAGGTGGTTGGCCAAGGAAGGAGTTTCTGAGATTGTATCAAAGGCTTGGACACAGAATGTTGAAGGAGCTGCCATGTTCAGAGTTAAAGAAAAGATTAAAGCAACAAGAATAGCTCTTTTGAAATGGAGCAGCAGTCATCACTCTGACAATCAGTAGAGAATCAAAGTGCTCACAGATGCCCTTGAACAAATCAGATCATCTTCTGGTGACAGAGATTGGGATTCTTGGAACATACTTAATTCAGAGATTGACAAAGCATATCATGATGAGGAGCTTTTTTGGAAGCAGACGTCCAGAATATTATGGCTAAAAGAGGGTGAAAAAAATTTAATTTTTTTTCATGAATTCATTGCTCACAGAAGGAAATTGAATGCCATCACTAGACTCACAGATGATAATGGCCATTCTTTTGAGGATCACCATGTGATCCAGAAATGTATCTGCAATTTCTATGAAAAGCTTTACACCTCTGATGGCCCCTCAGGACACATTGACATTCTCAATTACATTCCTCAATCCATTTCTGATCAGCAAAACTCTGAGCTCATTGCAGATGTTGAAGACAAAGAGATTGTTTATTGTGTTTTTGTGCTATTTTTCGTGTGTTTTATGTGTTTTAGTTTAGTGTTTTTAGGTTTGTTTTAGTGTCGACCGGTCCATTTTATCGTGTTCTGTGCATTTTTATTCTCGTTTCATGTTTTTGTGGTTCAGCGTACTTTTCTTGTCTTTTTGGTGTTGTTTAGGTCCACATTATTCGATCTTGGGAAGACGAGCCATTTTCGAGACATTTTCGAGTCGTCTGAACCATGTTCGAGCCACACGGGCCATTTCCGAGTCGTTCCGGGCATACTATTAATTGCATGGTGATATCAATTTGCGCATCTCAAGACTAGGAGAACGAGATTTGGAAAGCGTGGGTCAAAGTTTCAAGTCAATCGGATAAGTGCGCGAAGTTATGGCGAATCGAGCGTCTAGGGGCCATCGAACCATTCCCAGTGCTCGCAAAAATGACTTCGCGCCCGCGAATCCCTTCTAACCCGCGAGTTTCCAACATGCTGCTCCCAGTGCCCGCGAGTTCTAAGTTCGCGCCCGCGAAAACACATCAACCCACGAGTTTCTCTGCTGCACGCCGCGCCAGCCCGCGAATCCAACACTTCGCGCCCGCGAAACGAGCATAGCCCGCGAGTTGCCCAACTGTGCGTTGCCTATCCCGCGAGTTCTGCGTGCCGTATCCCGCGAACAAGCCCTAAACTGCGAGTTTCCTTGTGCGCGCCCAGATGCTTGCCTGCGAATCCTCGTCTGCGTGCGCGAGTACGCATTAGCTCGCGAGTCTCGTGCCTTAATGCCTTGCCAGCGGAATTTGCTCACAAAAATCGACCTTCTGCTCGCGAGTTTGACCTAGCCTGCGAGTTTTTTCTCATTAAATGTGTGTGTTTTAGTGTGTGTTTGTGGTGTACCTATAAATAGACATCTTGCTTTGTAATTTTGGAGAATTCATCATTTGCTAAATTTTTCTTTTTAGTTTTTTGCTCTCTTCTCTCTCTAGTTTTCTTTCTTTGTCTAAGGGCTCGAAGACCCTATTTTTAATTGTAATATTTCTCCATCAAGATTACAACTTTTTGGCTTATTTCTTCTCGTGGATGCATTAGAGACGTGGAGACTTCGCTTAAGGTTCATGATTTCGTTAGTCTTGTTTGTCTTTACTTATTGAGTTATTCTAGGGTTAAGATATGCACATCCATGAGTCGATTATGCTATCATCCTCGTAGGCTAGGGATTATGTGATATTGTTATTGATTGCGTGAGCGAGAATTGATTGAGAGATTAATTGATCACGAGTGACTATTGCTTGGTTGTATGTTCCCGAACCTATGAGGGCCTTCTTTCCATCTCGGGTCTAGGAGTACCTTGTTATTTCTCTTTTTATTTTCCTTTTTCTTGCAATTTGAGGACTTGCTTGCGATATAATTTGAATCTTGCTCCCGTTTAGTTTAAAGTTGCTCTCTTTAGTTCAATACAAACCCTAAATTGCGAGTAGAGTGTTTAAGATCTTTATTTTATTTTCTTATGTGAGTCGATCGTTGCTTGAATCCGTGTCCGAATAGCCTTCCTTTGAGAACGACCCGAGTCCGGGTAACTCGGTTACCAACTACCCAAAAATACTACAAACAGAGATTACATAAGCCTTATTCAGCCTTCATCCTGAGAAGGCCCCAGATGAGGATGGGATGACTGAGATTTTCTTTCAACATTTCTGGCCAATTCTCAAAGATGATGTGTGTGAAGCTATCAAGAGCTATTTCAAATTTGGGAGGATGCTGAAATATTGAAACCATACCATTATATCCCTCATTCCAAAATGCTTATATCCTGACTCTCTCAATAACTTCAGACCAATCAGTCTTTGTGGAACTCTTTACAAGACTATCTCCAAGATATTGACTGTCAGACTCAAATCCTTCTTACCATCATGCATCAGTGACTCCCAAGCAGCTTTTATCAATGAAAGGTCTATCATGGACAATGTCATAATTGCACAAGAGATCTTTCACTTCCTCAACAGACACAGAACAGGAAATAACCAATTCATGGCCATCCAACTTGATCTGCTCAAGGCTTTTGACAGACTTGAATGGAACAGTGTGAGGTTAGTTCTTGAAAGATTGGGTTTTCATGATAAGTTTGTTCAATGTATTATGGGTTGTATCAACTCTACTTCATTTTCTTTTTGTATCAATGGTTCTGTTGGAGGATTGGTCACTCCTTCTCGAGGTATTAGGCAGGGGGATCCTCTATCCCCCTACCTTTTTATCTTGGTTGCTGAGGTCTTCTCTGCTCTATTCCAGCATGAAGCAGGGTTGGGAGGAGTAAAGGGTTTGAGAATCTCTAGAAATGGACCAACTATTTTCCATCTACTTTTTGCTGGTGACACTCTTGTCTTTTGCAAAGCTTACAACAACCAAGCCTACCAACTCATGGATATTCTTGCTAAATATCAATCCTTTTCTAGTCAGAAAGTCAATTGGGGCAAATCTTCTATCTATTTCAGCAAAAACTCTCCACAGTCTCTGAGGAGAAGTATCTGTTATATCCTGAATAATATCATTGAACATTCCTCAACAAAGTATTTGGGGTTGCCCTTGGGGATTGGTAAAACTAAAGTCCAAACTTTCTCTTTTGTGTTGGAAGCTGTCAAAAGGAGAATCAATAATTGGAAAAACAAGCTTTTAACTCCAGCTGGTAAGGAAGTCTTGATCAAATCTGTTATCAGTCCACTGCATATTGTTTGTAGTATTTCTGGGCATGTGGTAACCGAGTTACCCGACTCGGGTCGTTCTCAAAGGAAGGCTTTTCGTAGCTTCGTTCACTATCTAGTCGTCAAAGTCACACAACCAAAAACAAGGTTCTAAACATGCTACTCGCTTGATTGGGGGATGATTGCACGCACTTGAACTACGAATCTAAGGGCGAATGATGGAAAATGCAAATATAGAGAAAAAGATCGAAACTTTGGTCTACCGGAATCCCCATGACTCAAGAAAAAGAAAAATAACAAGAGAAATCATGCTACCATAGCGATCCTAGGTCTTCTAACACGAGCTTTCTACACTAAATCATTACGCTTTGAGCAAAGTCGAAATCTCTCTAGATAAGCACATATCGAATCCTAACACACCAAAGCAAGCAATGTAAATAGAGCGAAAACCTAGAATCGAGCATCAACACAAAATCAAAAAACAAACTCGAAGCCCTAAGAAAGGTACTCAACCTCCTATCGCATGCGTAGACGAAAGTAGTGCGTAAAACTCGAATCTTGATCGAAAATAAAGTTGCCGAAATTTCACCGGAAAAATCGAGTCATGAGT